GGAATAGTTAAATTGAGTTTCTTGTCCTTCGGAGAACAATGAGTCGTTGTAGGATACGCTACCTCGGAATAGACCAAAGTGGAAAGTGGTGTTCTATAGGATTCTGTTTTGGACCCGCTACTCGTCCTTATCTACGCAAATAACTGCCTCAATGACTAGGCTGCAAACCTGTCATAGTTGCAGATGACCCAAAAAGATGGACTGAGAGCAGCTTTGCTGACGACGCAAAAGGGTTAAAATGGGATATCGACAAACGGAGTATCTGATCTGCTAAACGACCTTTGAAGTTTGATGCATCCAAGTGTGGCCCTACACATTAGCCCGTCAAAGAGTATCTCACAAACACAAATATGTTATCAATGATGCTGCAGCGAATGAGGTGAAAATATAAAAAGTCAAAATAGAGTCCTCATCTTCAACTGAACTCCTATTGCAAGCAGTGCACTGCAAGAGTCCCCCTAAATTCTGCCTCCATTTTCGTCGTAGGAGTTTTTTACCGCTTCTTCCTTAATGCACTATTTTTTCCAAGGATCGCTATTTTATGTTCTAAAAGGACAAATCTCTGGTGGAAAGTAAGTATTCTGTGGACATTAATCAGCTTTGCAATATATCTGACCGTTCACTAAGAGCACTATTGTGCACACTGTCATTATTTTGGCTCAGTACTACGTCTATTTTGGTAGTGCCCCCTGGGTGCTGACAATATAAAAATTTAGTTATTTATGTACACCCACCACGCCCGTCTCAACTACTCGCACTGCTCACAAACCCCAAGTCATCACATGGGCCTACTCGGTCCCTGAGTCTCCTTCAAAATTTGATGTTAACCACCACAAAGATACATAGATAGATTTGCTAACCTCACTATACGTGAGGACACCAAGAAAGCCTGCACTCGCACAGTCAATCAACTCACATCAGTATACACATGCCAACCGGCAGTTCGACCGTCGATTCTGACTATGGTCGCCGGCTGCTTTATATCGTGGCGGTGCAAGGAGGATGCCCTCTGCGTGGATAAGGTTCAGATTAGAGAACACTCGCGTTGCCTCTACCACGCTCTCTCTTCCCCCACCTGCCCAAGCCCGATGTCAAGACAGAGTCGAGAAGGCCAGAGGCGGGATTGGCGCAGGCGTCGTAATAGATGAGTAATCGTTTATGTCTACCCCTTTCAAATGGCCAACGGCTGCTCGACTTCCGCATGAAATTATGCAAGCATCCCTTTTTGGAATTTGCCTTCGGTATCGATGCTTTCCTTAGACGTATTCTAACCAATAGGAAGTTCAAACACTTTCACTTTTAATGTAACTGAACTGTACGGGCAAGTCACCTTCCCTGCGCTCGACTAAATAAGGGCCACACGGTCACTATCGTCATTAAAGCTGGCAACTCCCAATGGATGTTCGGCGTCAAAATAATACGAGGTGAGTACTTTTTCACGAAGTTAAATAACCGATGCTTCCATCAATAGATGAGATGAATCGTGACCACGGAATACGCGAATATAACTCAAACCACCTGTTTCCATAGGTACTACCCACATTAAGACGAATTTACCCCAAACCACTGCGGAATCAGAGATGAACAAGATCCGATATCTGCAAGATCTATTCGGAAGGATCTCTAGTGACCTAAGTTGGCACGCAACGTTCACCCTGTCGGGACTGTTGGCAAGTGCGCACGCATCAGTGCCCACCTATCCCAATTTGGCCTGAGCAAGCACCTTGAAGACCAACTCACGCAGGAACTCATTGTGAGGACTGCCGCGTGCTTACACTTTAGACGCCGGCCTATTGTGCACTCGTCCGACTGCTAACTTTTTCCAGCCTATCCTCCACTAAGTCTGTGGAGAATATATTATTCCTCCGACCTAGTGTCTTACTTCTTCCTACCCAACTCCGGTGTGGCAAATCATCTTTCCGTGGCTGACTCACAAATAAGGCG